CTGGTGCTTGCCCAGAGCATATAGTGAAGTGACTGGCATTACTTCTCGTTCTCGTTGGGAATAAACAGACTGCTAGGGAACATTTTATGTTGTTGTTCCCTCAGGAGTTGTGGTGATTTATGAGTGTGGAGTTAGCATGTTCTCTCCGTGTTCCGGTGGTTATTTTGAGGCGTACTCTCGTCCCATCCCACCATCAACATATGTATGTAACATACAGTCACTGGCCACTTTGTTAGATACACCTGTGTAATTTAGCCTCTTGCACTCCACCTCCATTTTTTAGCAAAAACGCCTAAAATGACATACCCAAATTAAAATGACTGTAGCCTCTGAACTGCTCTGACTACATGCATGCATGAGGTCTTTCCAGAAACCAAACTCTCTGAAGTTTCTTGTGAAAGTGTTAGAAACACTCTAGGTCATACAGAGACAGAGTAATGGGTCTCTAAAGTCAGTAAAAAGATGAAGATTTTGCCTAAAATAAAATTTAAAAAAATGATTTTCAGGATGAATAACTGTCTGTGGCTTCATCTGAACAGGTAAATGGCACTGTGGGGCTGTAGGCACACTATCAATGAACATTTGTTTCAAGTTTGAAGAAAATTGCTCAAAGTATGACCATTCTACAGTGTTTTATCCATGAAAAGATCCAGGCAGAGCTCCAAATGACAGAGTGCTCACTCTGCTTCAAAACAATACTGTCCGTGATCAAACAACACTCAGCCAGCTTCAAACACCGTACCTTATTGAAATCAGGTGTGATTATGATAGCTGATGTTGTTTATGACAGAAACACCATAAAATATCACCAAATAAAGCCATATGAAACGTGAAAGTTCTGATCCCACTTTCTAGGTGGTATATCTCAGCCAAAAATAGTGGTAGGAGTGAGATCTCACCTTTTATAAACCAGCTATGTATTCCCCGGACGGCTCGGCATGAGATCGCGAGTAATCCTTTAACTTTTCCCCTCGGAAAACGGCATAACATGGCTTGTCACCACTCATCGCGATTATGGACTTCGAGTATTTAGGCTGCTCTAGTGCGAAAACCATATGGAATAAAAGAAAAACGATGACGGATTCAGGAAGCCAAGAGCTCCCTGAATCTGGTGATATCGAGCATCACATGGTTTGATGATGTAGTGCGCCTGTGAGATCCCATTTAACAGAGGAGGGAGGGAGCACGGACGCCGGCGTCCAAACGGAGTTAAAGAGGCTAATGCAATCCAGTGGAACGGCTATACCATGATTTTTTCCCCGAAGCTTATACATTTTCGGTTATTGTTGACATTGTCTAGAAAGTGATGATTCTACTTTGTTTATTATTGTGTTCATAGTGAATGGTTGTGGTGTACTGGGGTGGTCTCCTAAATTTGTCTAATTGAGGGGGACAAAATATTAGGAACACTTTTCAATATTTTGCACTGCAGTACACCAGCACCACCCACTACCACCTCAATAATAAAGTAGAATAATCACCTTTCTGACAATGACAACAAAAACTGAAAATGTAAAAGCTTTGTAAACGTAGAATGTGTGGCAGAGCTGTTGTATTGGATTGTATTAGATGCGCAGATGTACCTAATAAAGTGGCCAGTAAGCCCCACATTTACACCACCAATCCATTGCGGCTCTGGGTCTCCCCTCAGCCCCTGGTTGCTCGGCAGCCTCAGCTATTCTTGCTCTCTCTTCTTCCAAAACCTGTAACTCTTCCTCTGTATATTCTGGCTTCTTCTCAACAAACTTGTTTTGATGACGGGAGTAATTGCACTAAACATACGCTGTTTGAAATCACTCCGCCCAGCAAGTACTGTATATCTGGAATGTAGTTCCGGCTGTGCGTTTGGCTTCAAAACAACTCTGTCTCGTAATATTACATTATTATTTCATAGCGTGGTGAATGTGTAAGTTACAAGTTGTCCACAAGAGCGTTTTGGAGTCATTTGATTAGTTTTGAGGGAGAGATCGGGCTGTACCGTTCACCTCCATTTTGTGCTCCAAGCAGCAGGCAGTTCTGCCCCACCGATCTCAGAACAACAGGCACTGATAATTAAAGGTAATGTACCTACTCATATGACTATAGGGATTACAGCAATAGGCGAATTTGCCAAAATGTCGAACTATCCCTTTAACAGGTGAGGCTTGAATTAGCGTCAGTTGGAGCCAGCTGATTTCACTTGATGGAACGGGTTGGCGCTAGATTGGGAGTTGGCATTTAGTCAAACTTCAAGATTACACCTTAGTCTGGATATTCTTAGCTACGTTGATGGAATACCCCCCTGGGTACCTTGCATGTCGTTTATGGATGTGGAAAGTCCATGACCAAATGTCAATATGTGACAAGATCAGAGGGAGAATGTGTTGTATTATCAAGCCAAAGAGTATGTAAACTTTGGTTGAAAGTGGGCACACACAATTGTGTGATAATAATCATCACCTGACCACTATCCTTAAATAAAAGAATAGTTTTCTGCATGATCAGTCATATTTCCTAATAAATATATAATTTTCTGCCAGGGGTATATAAATTTATGAGCACAACTGCATGTATGAGGCTAAGCTTTTTGTTGTTGTTGTTGTTTTTGTTTGTCTGTTTTTGTTTGTGTGTTTTGTTTCTTCATTCAATAATGCATGTTATGAAGTCTTGCAATTTTGAAAATTATTTATTAGCCAAAACCTTTTAAGATAAGTCAACTTTGATCCAAAGCACAGGCATATTAAAATATTTTTTGTTTTGTTTTTTTTGCTGAAAAACAACTTACTATATGCCTCGACCTGACAGTAATATTTTTTATAAAAGCAAAAAAAAACATTTCATGAAGAAATCAGACGCACAGTTAATACTGATGCATTATTTTCAACTAGATGGAAATCAGAAAGCAAATTCTCGAGCATAGTTCAGTTATATGTCCTGGGGTCCGTTTCACAAAGCAGGTTCAACAAACTCTGAGTCTAATTCTGAACTCTGAGTTGATCTACTCTGAGATAGGAAACTCTGAGTTTCCGGTTCCGGAACAGCTGATTTGAATCAGTTTAATCAACTCAGAGTAGTTTCACCTGGAGTTAAGCGCGTGCACCACAACTATAAAAAGCCAGCATCAATGGAGCCCCGATTCGACGAGTCACCATGGCAACGGGGACGGGGAGGGCGTTTTTCACCCCACTAGAATTAGAAATCTTAATGCGCTCATACTGCGAGTTTGAACACGTTTTCAAAAAGAAGTGCAACACCGCTGCAGCTGCAAAAGAGAGGGAGACAGCGTGGGAGAATGCATACGTTTAAATGTAGTCCTTTGCAATCACAATAATATTACAGGGGAAAACTGCTTGAATGGTAGCCTATTAATTTATTTCATTTAGGTGCAATCCCGTGGAGGAGAAGCGTACTTGGAAGCAGTTTAGGATGAAATATATAAACATTGTTCAAACAGGTAAGACCTCGGCATAATCTCATGGGGGTACTTCATTTTGATAATGTTTTACATTGTAAAGTAAATATTACGTGGCTGTTTGACTGTGCAGTTGTTTTATCCCCAACATAATGCTGTTTTCACACACATAAATGTCTTCTCATCTATATCATGTTCTGTTAAATAATTAAGCCCATTTAAACTAACACAGACTTCTACTCAGCCAACAGAAAGAAGGCAGATGCCCGTAAAACGAGCACACTTTTCTGACCGCCCTGCATACAGTTGCCTTACTCAAGTGCTCAGCGTCTCCGACATTGTACAAAAAACTTCCATTTGCAAAGAAACACAGCACATTTTTATACAGTATGAGCGCAACACACAATATCTGCTGGGATGTGAGAGCATGACTACAATTGGTAATGTTGCAAATAAGGACGGATTAGGTTGTGTAGATGATGGACTGTGACGTGAAACGGTACCGCTCAAAAAGATAATTGTGTGGAAATGCTAAAACATCTATGCGCGGTCTGATAACCATCTCCTGACGAATATTTAATTCTCTGCGCAGTAATGCTGCACCTTCATCCACGGGATCGTTATCAAAAGGACATGCCATGTTAGTGAAAAAAGTCGCCACCTACTGTGCCTAATGGACTTCTAATATACTTACTCTGATTTTTTCAATGATTTTTTTAAATGACAGACGGCAGAACTAGGCTACGCCAAAACTCGCCTGCTGACTGAATGAATGAGGAAATCAAATGGAGTGTGTGGCTCTGAAAGAGGGCGGAAACAGAGACACTTGAGGTTCATTGAGAAAAACCTGGTCCCAACCAGGTTAGGTTCATAGAGTCTGTTACTACGGTAACTGACCGAGAGCTTAAGTTACCTCTCTCTCTGAAACAGGCTAGAGTTACCCCTCTTTCTCTGGTTTGAGTTACCTCCCTTTTTGAAACGGAAAACTCAGAGTTTCCCTCATTTCAGGGTTAATAGACTCTGAGTTTTCACTAAACCTGCTTTGTGAAACGGACCCCAGGTATAAAATTTTGCTCTTGTTGTGTCAAACAGTCCAATCAGCTGCATCAAGAGATTTCCAAAAGAAAGGTGTCTCAGTTTGGTAAAAGACTTCCACAAAGTTTGGTCTCAAGTATCCTTTCCCATGACTCTCACGATTTCCAGTCAAGTAAGGAGCAAATACGAGAATTTTGGATTTACCTATCACTTGAGTCTCTATCAGCTGCTAAGCAGGAGCAGATAGTAGAGATGTTGTAGGAAAAATTGTTGTTGAGGGTGCTGAACTCGAAACAGGTCAGGATAACAAAGGCCAAAATACACCTATAAATATGTTAAATCATGTGTTTTTATTCTTTCTTCCTTAACCACTTCCCCATGCTGCAATTCAAAATAGCTAGTAGTGAAAATATCCCTTCAGACTAACACACTGACCACTTCACATAGCATCAAATCAAATCAAGTCAGTCTTTAGTGCCCAGTAAATGTACAGTTGTAAGAAAACAATACTAAAGAAATACATTACTCATTACTTCACATACATGAGGCAAGCAGAGTGTGTGTGAAAACTTACTATGTGCAGCATTAGATAGTCCCCCAAACCAGGTGCACTATCAATCCTGACCAGAATGCCATCTTTCAGAGAGGTACTGAAGCCAACAGTCAGCCTGTCCGTCCTGGTGCTCGGCCTCTCATTGGCTGGCCACTTGAATGTAATGAGGCCTCCTCCTTTGCCAAAGATGTATGTTGTCCCAGCTGAACAGAAAATAAGAATAAATGAATAATAAGCTGAACTCAAACAAGAACCACATCCATCCATCCATCCATCCATCTTCTAACCACTTCAGATCTGCTGTCTAAATATATACTGAGTGTCCAGAATACACTGAATATTAGTAGGCTTATGCAAGGCAAGTTGATGATATCATGTAGTGGAAAAGTGCTGTGACAGTTAAGTAAGATAATATAAGAATAGCAGGCAGGGGCGGCTGGCCAATAGAGGGAGATAGGGCGCCGCCCCTCCTTGAGCCACGAAAGGAAGATGATGATAATAAATGTATGATTATCATCATCATTATACACACAATATATTAATTATTCTGATAATTTTCACTTGTAACAACTCGTCTTGCGTGTGAAGTCTTGTTCCGACCCTTTGGGGCGTTATCAGTCTGCCTGGAAATCGCACCGATCACTCTCATAGACTTTCATGTAAAAGGCTTTTTTACCAAATGCAGGCACTCAAATGCAATCTCTATGGGTTCCGGGAGGGCTCGCCCCAACGTGTTTTTGTCATACGTAAACCACCAAGTATCATTCATGTGCTCCTCGGATGGTCCGATTTCCCATGTCGGGAAGTCGTTCTTCGGTAGCCTTCTTAATTGTGTGTTCATGAGCGTTTAAGTTGTAATGTGGAGACAACATGGACATTACAAAGAAGATGTATTGTATTTTATCACTCAAAATGTTTAAAAAACAAGTTGTCAACCGTTTCCACTGAAATATTGCTTTACGGTCGGAAACTCATTTTTCCGATTATTCCGACATCACATGAGGCAGCGCCACTGCGCAGCAGTCACATTCAAGATCAACATGGCTAACAAGAGGCTTTTTAACCCTATAGATTAAAAAGGAACGACGCATAGTGCGTCCAAATTCACACCTGTTCTTCTCTATAGATTTTCTGCGCGACTGTGCGTCATAGCGAGAAGCCACACATATCACGTGAAACAGCGGGACTGCAGCTTTCCAACAAGACCAAGCACTTGTCGGTAGTCCAATGTTTTCACAGCAAAAAAAAATGATAAAGTTACACTAAATTTATGTATAACAGAGCTTTCATACAGCTTTGCCACACACATTACTCTTGGATGGATTACTCGCGAATGCAGGGTCGCACAGAAATGTCATGCATATCACATGAAAGCACAGGACCAGAGCTGTCTAGTGATACCACATATATCATTGTGCTGTCATCCCATCACACTCTAAATATAGATCAATTGTCTACAAAATAAAAACCTGACGAATTTCTTTACAATCCATTATACAGATCTTGTATACAGATCCTCACTTCATATAGTGAGGAATATCGTATCTTACCACGTCTTAGGCTTGCGTGTGTTTCTCCCTGTCTATCCACGTTTGTAGTCCGGCTTTCAAGATGCAAATATCTCCAGATTGTCCAGTTCACACTCTGATAGTGTCTGATGGTCTATGATAAGACCAACACACTTCACCTTTACAAACTGTAGCCTAGTTATGCATGCGTGACAGGGCAGTAGTCACCATATACTGGAATGCAAAAACGTTCAGGTCAGGTCAAAGAGCAGCACGGAGCACAGAGAAGTAAGTCAAGATCATGTCGACAAGAAAATGTCTAGAATTTTTTTTTACTGCAAACAAAGTGACAAATATTATCTTTGAGGACATCAATGCACTTGGTTGACTATTCTTCTATTATCTTAGATGTAAATATTGCATGTTTTTTTCTTATTAAACACATTTTTGACTTGTGTATTAGTCAATGGAATTTCTTGCAATAATGAAAAAATACTGGCAATCATGTCCGCCTGGCACAAACCACATGTTTTGGACAGCTGTGAAGTGACAGAATGTCCCATTATCATGTTTCTTATATTTCCAGATTCCAGAGAGTCTCCCCTCTTCATATATGGCAGAATATGTCAACTTCCAACTTGCTATGGTGAGATACATGTACAAATGTAAGAATTTAGTAACACGGATTTGTTTTTTTCATTGATATAAAAATTGATATAAAATATAGGCACATAGAAGGACATGGAATGATGGCAAATCTGGTTAGCCCAGATTGTCCTGAAAAAACAAAACAAAACAAGATATAGCATGTGTATGTAGCCTTTATAATGACTGTGATATGAGCCTAGGGCCCATAGGGTTAAGTTGTAGGGTACATTTATTTCTTTAATCAGAACACAAAATGAATTTCCACTTAGCTATAATAAAATTTTTTCTGATTAAGACTGACAATGACTCAGCGAATACCTTACTCAATTTTATTTGATTAATGGTAAAACAGGTCTCTGTTCACATTCAAAGGTATTTGTGTGGGCAAACTGATGAAAATTAGTCTGTTGATGACCAAAGTGGATTGTTCAGTCATTGTAGAGCCAAATTAATTCAAATATACCCACTGAACAGGTCACCTCAGCCATCATCACAACAATTGCCCCCCTTGAGAAATTTGTCAGGAGCCGCCACTGATAGCAGGTATCACTGCACTACAGAGATATGAAATATTCTAATAATACTAACAACTAGAAAAGTGCACTTGGTAGAGTGCAGATCTCCACAAGGTGGCCAAGTGGCTTCCCGAGCTGATCATCACCTCTCCAAGCAATTCTTGTAATTCTGGCAGACATAGAGCAGCATGTTTCAGAGGTGTCCCAGAAGTGTCTCAGAAGATAGTAAAAACAAATTTGCCTTGTCTACTATTGATAGAGCCATGGTGCATTGTACAGAGCACATCAAGTTCTAACTTAATGAGAAAGAACTTCATGAGAAAGAAGAAGTTAGCAACACCAGCGACCATAGTCAAATGTATCCCTGGGGCAGAGCAGGCAACACTGAATCAAATATAAAACTGCATGCTGAGGGTAAGCATAGATTTAGTTAGATTATTATTCATGTCAGCAGTAATGACGCCTGATTACACCAGTCAGAGGTCAATAAAATTACTAAAAAATGTCAGACTCCATAATTTTCTCTGGGCACCTCCCAAACCAGACCAGTGATGACGTATAGCCGCATATTATCATTGAACCACTGGCTTAAGGTGGTGTAATAACTGGCAGACTTTCTGGGAAAAACCTTGTCTGATTAAGGGAGACAACAGTCATTTCACTTTGGATGGAGCTGCTCTCATCTGTGACTGAATTTAAAACCCTGACAACCCAGAGATGAGACCAGGAAGCAGAGTCTGACATGAGTCTTACATGCTTACCTGAGCTTCCTCTAGAGCAGTTACCCACCCATATTGCCATAAAATCTGTGTCTGTGAGCAGACCACAAAAATTATTTAAACGTAAAAGAAACAAAAGAGTTTTACATAAAAACCCAATAAGTACAACAAAACAGGATGAATAAATGTGGACTTTTCAACATCCCATCTCTGTCATCTAAAGTAGTGCTGATAAATGATTTAATATCAGATAATAATTAGAGGTGGAGGAAATAGTTGATTCTTAGATGCATCACGATGCGGACATGGACAATCGGGCATCATATCAAAAATGTCCATAATCAGTTGTCTAAATGTTTCATAATAACGTGATGTTGACAAACAAAAGAGGTGGAACTCAACCGCAAAGGCAGTCCAGCACCTGCACAGTCTTTAGCACGGACATGCGAGTGAAAGGGATAGTGCACCCAAAAATGAAAATTCAGCCATTATCTACTCACCCATATGCCGATGGAGGCTCAGGTGAAGTTTTAGAGTCCTCATATTCCTTGCGGAGATCGGCGGGGGGAGCGGCTAGCACACCTAATGGCTGACGGCGCCCCAGACTAACGTCCAAGAACACAAAATTGAAACCACAAAATATCTCCAACATGCTCATCCGTAGTGATCCAAGTGTCCTGAAGCTCCGATATAAAAAATTGTTTGGAAAAATGTCATTTTATCTCTGTTTTTAGCCTCATTGTAGCCTGTAGCTCTGACTGCTTCTCTGTGCTCTGCGCTTACGTGTGCGCGCTCAGGGTGATCGGTGATGCACGGTCTCTGAAGAGCAGCAGTCTCATCAGTACTGATGTCCAGATTCTCAAGTGCAGGCATCGCCAATTCCCAGTCCGAGCAGCAAAGACTTTCCTCATCCGTTGGCATTGCTTTGCATTTGAAACAACTACACCACCAGGTTTCCAGTGCTCAACTCCGGTATTCTGCGGCTGGCTGAGATTCATGTGCTGCGGCAGCTGCTTCGTCCAGTAGCCTGAGTTCCGCGTCCGTATACTTGGACTCAAACAAATACGGCTCAACAAAGAAATGCTATTCCTCCTCAATTTCAAAGCCTTCAGACATGTTGGGCTGTCCTTTGCTAAAAGACCGTAGTGCAAATTATCTTTTAGCTACTGTGGTTACTGTTGTCTCTTTCTGCGGTGCATGTGTCACGTGATGTAAACACGGGTAAGCAAGCTCATGCTTTCATTGGTCTCGCGCAAGCACGCACACGTGAGCACAGAGCACAGAGAAGCAGTCAGAGCTACAGGCTACAATGAGGCTAAAAACAGAGTTCATATGGCGTTTTTCGAAACAACATTTTATGTCGGGGCTTCAGGATTTCTGCGAGAAAAACACTTGAGCGTGATCTGCAAGGGTTTATTATGTCCTCCTGTCAAGCCCTCCCTACAATGCTGCTGCATATTAATGTCACCAGCAGGAGGCAGTGTGGTGCGGTGCTTCCCCCACTGATACGTTTTTTCAACAGTCTCTCTGTCCTTCCTCATTCATGGAGCGAAGCTGCAAAGACCTGAACTACCTGTTGCCTGTGTCTTCTTTTCTCCTGTTTCCAACAGGAATCTTATCTGTATATAGGTTCTCTGTCTGAGACCTGTAACAGAATTGTGAGGGCTTGTCCGGGATTGGCGACACCTGTGGGTGGAGAACGTCATCGATCCAGTGATCCCTGAACCCGTGGACCTGTGTGCATATGTCATCAGAGCAAGGGGCTGCGTGAAACCAGGGTGTCTGACTGCTGCCAGAGCAAGGGATTTCTAGG